CTTCCAGGCTAACAGTACTGAAGTTGTTTGGAGTCCAGCTAGTCATGGTTTATGTCTGTGAAATTTTTCAGGTTCCAGAATATTAACTGAGTCAGTAAGGCCTGTGTTCAGTGTAGCCTGTCATCAGTGGGTCTGTAAGTTTAATAAAGATTTTGCTTCCCAGAATGGAAGGATGGTGGGTGTACTGAAAACAGATCTTTATTCTGATTAAAGTTACAACAGAATAGGGGCAAGCAGAAATTACAGAAATTCTGAAACTAATTCTTGGAAGCTTAGAAGTCTTGGCAGTGCAATTAAAGCTTTCAGAGGTGTACATTTGGAAAAGACATCCTGAAACTCATTCATATTTATCATAGTTTATAAAATTGCAGGTTACACTGACCTGCATTTCTGGTACTTCTTAAAAGGCATGTGGTTTCACCGTTTACTGATATCTTAGGAATTTATTTTTACTTTCTTTATGCCTTTATACCTGTAAAAAGTGTTTTGTAGCATAGTCATTTTGATTTGGTATCTCTTTTAGTACCCATTCTGCACAAAGTATATCTATCTACACAATGTAGAACATAGTACGTAATCAAGCATTTTATACTTTCTTAGACAATATCAAAAAATTTTATTCTCTTTAGAGTCTTAATGTATTCGAGCTTGGATATTATATTAGTTTCCTCTTTCTGGTTCCTTAGGTGATGAAACTTGGGTAATGAAATTCTAACCTTGGCATGATTTCTCCCAAGTATCTAAAAGATGTGCATGTTAAAAGTGAAAAATTGTTCCAAATATGTCAAGGTATTAATTTTTATTTAATGTCAGAAATATTTCCATCCTTAGTAATGTATATTATACTTGAAAGCTCCCATTTCATTTACCACTATAAAATCCTGTTTCAAACAGTATAAATTCTTGGTGTACTAGTTTCAGAAAGTCATAAGCCAGTATTTTATTAACAACCATGGCATTGGTTGCTCAGGGATAGATTTTTATTTGTTCTTAAAGGAGTGTTCTGTGATCAGTCCATGTTATCGTGGAGCTCATTCTGTCTCCCGCTGACATGGATTTCTATTCTTCCTCTGATGTTACAGTGGAGATTGACATCCTGTAGCACTACATTTAATGAAAGAAAGACTTCAGAATTAAGAAATAACTACAGTGCTGCAACAATGCAGTTTCAAGTAGCCATTCCTTCTCAGTGCATACGTTTGTAAAATTGAGGTTGAATCTGTGGATACATCTTTGCTGAAAACTTCATAAACCATTTTCTGCAAGACAGAGAGGTTTTACTAATTTCAGCACCAAATTGTCATTTACCTGACATTTACCTGCTTTTCTGATTGACATTTTTTCTCCAAAGCAATTTTACCTCTAACACACCTCATTTAGGCTAGCTGTCTGTTAGAAATGTGTTTCAGCTTGGTCACTTATGGCACCAAGACTAAACAAAGCTTTTCCATTTTGTGTTATCATCCTTCTGTGATTATGGAATAATATGTGCTGTATCCTCACCTCCTTGGAAGATACATGAGATTTCAGTAGTCTCACTAAATTCTTCCGCTACATTTGTATTGACCCACAAATGAGATGCAGCATGAAAGGGGTTAGCTACTGAGAAATTCCTACTGGAATCAGCTGCTGATTTTACAACTGTTAATACTGAAGTTGTTATCTCTGTGTTTTTATTGAGTCTTATTTCTGAGCGTATGCAGCATATTCCCTCTCCATAAATAATGATCAGTTTAACTTATTGCATAATGGAGAGATGGGAACATCTTCCTGACTTTCCCACTGGGGCCTCTTGCACTTCTAAACCTGCAGAAAGGAAACTATCTTTGGTAATCAAAAGATGTATATGCCCAATTGTATAAAGGGAAAGACAGCCTAAATCTGTGTCTCAGTTTTTCCAACAGCTGACAATTTGTTATTGTACATTAATTATGGCCCAGCTCATAGGAGGATCTAGGAGATAATTTATATGGAGGAAATTGTTGCTGCTTTACTGAAAAAGGAAAAAAAACCATCCCAGTTGTTTTAGCTATAAAACTTTCCACACCTGGGTTTTCATCCTGGCTTTCTTGAAAATCCATCTATACAGGTGTGCACTTGCATTTCTCTGAGTGTATTGCTTTTACCTATCTACCCTTCATGGCACTTTTTAGCTCACAGTAAGGGCAACAAAACAAAGTAAAATGCTATTTGTTTTGCTGAATTCTTATTCACAGCAGTTTCTAATTCATATTGCTGATATGCTTTTGGGAAATTTCATGTCTGGAGAGAGTTAAACAGACAACTGAAGCATTTATGGGTGCCTCAGTTCAGTCAGTACAGAAGTTATATAAAATGCATTTCAAATAGCCCATTTGTAAATAATGTTGGTTTGCTGTATTTCCTATAAAACGTTACATACTTTTTAACTGATGTCATTCAAACAGGACAGCTGATCACAATGCAGCTGCCTTTGTATTATTCAGTGGTTTAGTGGTGGATGGTGGTAAATTTATGGTTGGACTCAAGGATCTTAAAGGTCTTTTCCAACCTAAGTGATCCTATAATTATATGCTTGTGAGCATAGTCATTGCTTTCATTATACTTTATTTGCAAATAGGCAAATGTATCTGGGGATGTTAAGGGGAAGCAAACAGCTGAGGGACAGTGGCCTTACCTTTGATTTTGTGAAAAAATGGTGAAAATAAAATATGGAGAGTGCTCCCTCGAGGGAAGAAAGGCCTTGACTTTTTTTATTTTTAATGACATTAGCAAAAAACACTGATATTTAGAACAAACACACTTTGAGGTTTCCTTCCTTCTCAAAGGCAGAAGAAAATTCTTCCCATTTGTGCTCTTTTATTCCTATACAAAACCAAACTTTTCTCTTTTCCTTACTTTTAAACCAAATTTTTATTAAGTTCTTCTTCATGTTTCCATTGTTTCCTAATTATTTCTTCTTCTTTGAGCTATAATTAATCCTCAGTATCAGACCATATTACTTGGTGTTGCTGGATGCCACTATTTGAAATTTACCTCAACCGGTCTTTTCCTTCTTTTCCTTACTCCAATGAGTGTTAACAATTTCTAAAAACCTGACAAGAATCTTAAATGTCTAAATGGTACATTTATTGTGAGGCACAATGAGTATGCCAGCATCACAGCAAAAAGAAAGAAAGTAAAACAAGTCATTTGATGACTGAAATGAGAAAGGGAGAAATATATCCACTGTTTACTTGCTTTTGCTGTGGACTGTGTGGTATTAGATAGAGGATATGAATTTTATTTGTTGTGTCATTATTTAAATAAGCAGTTATTTCAGAAACAACTATACATCTTTATATGAAACTTTAGTTAATTAAATGCTTTGCAATACCTGCTGTCTTCAGGATGTTGAGCGGCTGGTGAGTCATAGTTATCGAATTTCACTGTTATTTTCTAAACCCAATTCTGTCTTATTTTGCTGTGTGTATTGAAGTCCATGTCTAGGCCTCTTCACTGATTCCATGTGATTTTTTCCATATTCAGCAGCCTTGCCTTTCCTTTTCTTTTCGGGAGCTTTTAAGATTGACAGGTTATGCAATTATTAGTTGCAAGTCCAAAGATGAATATCTGTTTGCTTCACTCCTAAATCCTAAAGACTGTTTCTAAGATTTTAGAATTTTCTTCATAGTTGAACATGTTGTCTCCAATCCTTTAAATTCGTCTCTCTTACTAGTAAATTATTCTAATAATAAAGTACCTTTTTAGCAAATTGTTTGTTGGCAAAATGCTTGCACTGGGTGTGTTTAACCAAGGTTTCTCTCAAAGAAGTTTGGGAAATTCTTAAAACAACTGAAATTACCTTCTCAAGCAATACTTGGGTGGATCACTGTGCCCTGGCAGTTGTCTGCCCTGGCATGATTTTGGATATCTCTAGTTACCTCACTGGCACAGTAGGCAGAAAGAGTTGTTACTTGGCAGTGTGTTTCAGAAAATGTTATATATAGTAGAAACAGATGTGCAGACATGGTAGATTCTTATTTCAGTCAGAGTTACTGTGTATGATTTGTTTTTACTTGCATCTCCTACTTTGCTAAGTATTCAGGGATAAATTGTGTTGATTTAGTGAAACTGTCCCAGATTACTGATATTTTGGGCTAAGGCCAATAGTGAGGCTCAACAAGGCCAAGTGCCAGGTCCTGCTCTTGGGTCACAACAACCCCATGCAGTGCTACAGCCTTGGGAAGAGTGGTTGGAAAGCTGCCCAGTGGAAAAGGACCTGGGAGTGTTGGATGACAGCAGCCAAAAATGAGCCAGCAGTGCCCAGGTGTCCAAGAAGGCCAATGGCATCCTGGCCTGCATCAGCAGCAGTGTGGCCAGCAGGACCAAGGCAGGGATTGTCCCCCTGTCCTGGGCACTGGTGAGGCCACACCTCCAGTGCTGTGTTCGGTTTTGGGTCCCTCACTACAAGAAGAACATTGAGGGACTGGAGTGAGTCCAGAGAAGGGCAACAGAACTGGAGAAAGGTCTGGAGAAAAGTCCTATAAGGAGCAGCTGAGGGAGCTGGGAGTGTTAATTCTGTAGAAAGGGAGGCTCAGAGAGGACCCTCTCTCTATGAGTACCTGACAAGAGGTTGTAGAAAGGTGGGGGTCAGTCTCTTCTCCCATGTGACTATCAATGGGACTAGAGGAAATGGCCTCAAGTAGTGCAAAGGAAGACTTAGATTGGCTTTAAGGAAAAGTATCTTAATGGAAAGTGTTGTCAAGTATTGGAACAGCCAGCCAACAGTCCAGGAAAGTTGTGAAGTAACCATCCCCGGAGGTATTTTAAAGACATATGGCACCTGTGGACATGGTTTAGTGGTAGATTCAGCATTAGTTTAACATTTTAATTTGGTTTTAAATATCTTTTATAATCTAAAAAATTCTCTTATTCCATATGTACTTGTTGCTTAAAATGAAATTTCATCAATCAAAACTCTTTTGTCCTCCTCAGCTATATTTATATTTGTTTGTTTGTTTGTTTTTTCTCCTTGGCAGCCTAAAGCATCACAAGGGCCGTATTGTTCAGGATTTCAGAGAGCAATCGTTTATCTTTGTGGATACAAGTAAACGGACAATGGTGTCCCGACCATCTGCTCAAGCTGCTTGAGAACTGTCGTCTGTGCAAATGGCATGAAAGGTAATTTAACCTCAGAAGGTGCCCACAGAGCTCCAGTTCTGTTTACCATTGTGTCTTTGCCAGTCTAAAAATAAATCCTGCTGAACAAAAACATCCTTTTTTCTTTCCTAATTTAAAGAACAAATCATCATCAGAGCTAATTTCAGCTAATTTCACCACAAGGGGTTGTTTTTCCTTTCTAGTATTTTTTTAAGTAGCAGATAGGTTTCCTGGGATAAATGGTATCTGTCTTATAATTGTGTTTGTTGCTGTAGGAGGCTGTTGTTTTTCAGAGTACAAAATAGGGTATAATCATGGAGTGGTACTCAGTGCTGAGTGATACACACTTTCAACATATCAACTCTAATTCTGCCATGACCCCTTGTTATTTTGTTTTGCCAGCCACTTTGTTTAATTGAGGAAAGCAGCTCTGCTCGTAAGCAAGTTTTTGTTTGCAAAGGAGTATTCTGTCCTGAAAATGACGAGTGCCTTTTCTGGATGCCCTCTTTCAAAGCCTCACTTGAAGTAGTTTCAGTGTCTGGTCCTAGTGAAACTCTGAAAAGATTGAGTAAAAAACCAGTAAAAACCTCTTTTGGTGTATATATATATATATATATACACATATATATTTTTTTTAATATCTATAATTTTTATATATATAGTAGCCAAATGAGGGAAAAGCAGTTCCTTTCTCAGATTCAATAAATAGGCTAGAAAAGAAGGGCTTGACATTCGTCTCACTGTCAATGGTTCTGCAGTTCCTACTGGCTGTGGTGGTTACTCTCAGGACCAGCAAAAGCAGCTTCTGGGTGCTGCCCCAGAACGTGAAGCTCTGTATTATCTTCTGCCGTCTGCTGTGCTGATTTCTTCTGTTCAGTGCTACAAATAAAGCAGTTTCTGGCTCTCCTTCATGGTCTCTTTGCTCCTGCTTTGTGGTAGGTCAGCCTGGCCCATGATGTGAGACTGTTTTCTGGCAAAGTCTGGAGGTCAGATCACACCTTGTAGAGCATGTTCTCTGGGATGCTGTGGCTGTGCAGACATCTTGCATGCTGCCGTGGGAGGAGAAGTAGAAAATGCATTTGCCTGGCTGCTTTGTCAGATAACTTGTTCTGAGGGCACGTGGGAATGTCAGCAGCAGAAAGAAGGTAGATAAAATCTGTATTCAAGAATCAAACTTGGATTAAATGAAAAATGACGACAGTGGTGTCTGAGAAGTATGTCTCATCTGGTTTTGTTGCTTCTTTAGCTACACTGGTTTAGCTAACCTAGTAAAATATAGTGTCTTACTGTAAAAAATACATTCTGGACAGAAAAATGGACCAGTTTCTTGATTTAATTGCTAAAGAGTATCCAGTCTTGATGGTGGCAAACTTTTGCTCCAACTTAACAACATAAGCCTGATTCATACTTTTCTTGGACATTTTCACTTGGATTTACTTTTTTAAGCAGAAGAGGTGGAACATGACAGATTTGAAAATGTTTTATATAGCTTTCAACAAGAAGCAATTTATAGCAACTTGAAGTTACATAACTTCTAACTCCACTTTTTTTCATGGCATGATTTAGACAGATCTGATACTTTCACAATAATTCAAAGGAATATGCAATCAGTCAATCCATCTTATCTATTTTAAGCATTTCCAAGGAACCATCACTGTAGTTTCTACATTCCGAATCTGAATACAAGTGACAGTTTGTCATAAACAAGTATTTTGGAAAATAGCAAAAAGAAAAATGGCTTTATTCCTTTACGAAGTAAAACCTTCCCATATAAAGGGATCCCACAGTATTGCTCATGGTGTTCACTATACAATTAGTATTAATTTATGTAAAAAATTTAGGTAAAAATTTACTTTAATAAACACTGTGTCTTTCATAGGAAGATGATAGGATTCTTCTCCAGCAATAGTTAAATTGTTATTTGTAAGACCCCACAATTATCAGAAAGACAGTGGAGTATTACCTTTCTTTAATTGCATTGGCCTATATATAGGACAAAGGAGCACAATAAAACTTTTCACAGAGTAATATTTAGGATAATCTAGGAATTCGTTCAGATGGCTTCAGAATACTTGTAGCCAGAGGTAGTTTGGATTCTCTCATAAAGTAATTTATTCAAACCATTCTGTAATATTGTTCAAATGAATCATTGCACTTTTAATCAATTGAATAATTCATGAACATTCTTTTAAAGGAATTTAATCAAAGCATCATGTGAAAACTTTCCCAATGTTGTACCTATAGCAGTATCAAAGCAATCCTTCAACCTCAGCTTGCACCTCTGTGTAGTTTGGGTGTTTGTGTTTTGCATCATTTGATCTGAAAAGAAGCCATAAGGCTGCATAGGGCAGAATTAGGCATCTGTCTGTGATAGAAAGTTTATTCTGCTGAGAAAAACAGACTAAGTTGAGAAAAACATTAGGAGAAGTACAAATCAAAAGCTAGAAAACCAGAAAACAAACAAACAAACAAACTGAAAATAAACTGAACAATAACAAAATGGAACCAGCAGGAAGAACAGCCTGTGTCTCAGGAATATTTTCTGCTTTTGACAACATTATCATATGTACTTAAAATCCTAGAATATTCATTCTTTGTTCATACTACTTCCACATCTGCAGGCTAGATTTCGGTATTCTTAATGTACTTTTTGAATCCACATGGAAATTTTACTGGAAAAAATAAGAGGAGCATTAATAGAACTTATTGAATTTAGCTGGAGCTTTTTTAAGTTCAGGGACTGCCACTGTAATTCAAAGCTACAGCAGATGAAAATCTCTGCTACTGTCAAGAGAAAGAATTCTAGAAGGCCCTTTTAGTTTTCCATGAAGTATGGAAACCTTGAATATTTGAGAACTCAGTTTATCTTCTGTTTCTCAAAAGGTACGTGATAGTTCTGTATGTTACTTTTTACATGTGAGCAACACAGCATTATTGAACTCACAGAAAGAAGGAATTAGAGATGATGTAGGATTTGACTTCTAGCTCTCATCTCTTCTACTTCACAGACCATGTTTCAATCGTTGTTCCTCTTTAATTAATAGTCTTTCCTTAGATGAAGTGGTCAGGAATAAGAAAGGAGCAGAAGAATATTGTTACTCTCTCATGCAAAACTTCTGACATAAATGTGTATATGATTGAAAGCCTGAAGAAGCTGCTTCCCAATATATAGTGATACCATTTCATGGTTCTCACCCATACCACAAAGCACTGACATTTCATTTAATGAGCTGTAATTGTCTGCTGTCATCTGTCATGATCTTAGGCTGTGGCTGGGTTTTAGTTTGTAATGAGTAATAGCGCAAGCGTATGTTGGTGTCTAAATGCTTGCTAGGTGTCTAAATTCTCATATAATCAATATACTATATGTTTTAATGGTAGTCAGGCTAAAAGAATGATTCAAACATTCATCTCCTACACGTTCAAATGACTGGCACCTTTGAATGCCCCTAGGATCATTCAAAACGTGGCAGTGCACTTAAGACATCTATGTGGAATAGATAAATATGCCGCAGGACCTGTAGGAGACCTATAGCCTCCTAAGGGGCTTGCTGGAGCCAGGAAGGAATGTTCCAGGGTATCTCTCAGGCCAACTGAACTGGGCATTAGCTGTCTAGGTACCAGCAAACTTAACTATCTTTCTTGTATGTAGACAACAGATGCTGGGTGTGTTAATCTGAAACTGAACTCCATGATATGTAACAGTGCCTTTATTGGATTTCGTGCAAACAGCCTCACTGATGTGAGAATCATGCAGAGAACTAATGAGATTGATGAAAGTCATCCAGGTTTTGTCTGGTTTGCTGCGGTCCTTTATAGGAATCTGACATTACTATAGTATACTATACTACACAAAGAGAACTTTTCAAGAGTAGACCCTTGAAAATTTGGCTTGAGACCCCTGCCAGTGTAAACATGCTGACAAATTGAGCTGCAGAGGCAGGAACTCAGGTAAATGAACATGAGTGGAAAGAAGAGGTTTAGAATGGATAGAAGGAGGAGCATTTTCACTCTGAGGACAACCAGGCACTGCACTGGGTTGGTCAGAGATGCTGTGCTGGCTCTTTTCTCTGAAGCGTTCAAGACCCAGCCCCGAGCACCCAAGCCTGGTCTCACAGCTGAGCCTGTTTGAAGAAGGACCTTGAACTAGAAACTGCCTGATGTCCACTCCTACCTGACTTTTCCTGTGATCTCAAGATATATTATTTCAAGAAGTGAAACCAATAGCTTTTCTGTTCAAGCTCAATTAGACAAAGATAGAAAAATTATTTCCCTTAATTGAAGTTGCAAGGGTAGTAATTTTCCTTTTCTGGTATGAGCAAATGGTCCCAGAATTAACTGAACTCACCCTGTTGTGGTACAGCAAAAGGCTGGGAATTAAAATGGTTTATGTAATTTGTTGCAACCAGCATTGAAAAATTGCGAAGGCACAGAAAAATTAAAAAAAAAAAAAAAAGAAAACCAGCAGGACTTAGGGTGGTTTGTGAGATCTTTTGTTTATTGGTTTTTGGTTTTAATATTATGCTTTTTTTGGTGTGAAAAGGTGAGAATATTTTCGTAAAAATTAAATGCAACCTCCTTATAAATGAAACATTACAAACACACAGACAGGAGAAAAGGTCCCAGTTTGACTTGCAAGTAGAAATCTAGCATTTTCTAAAAGTAAGGAAAGCACAGGAAGAAGAAATTTCAAGTCAGTCTAGAACATTTCTTGTTGCTGTTAGCTATATAATTAGCAATAGGATGGCGAAAAGAATGAAACACACAGCAACATGGTCTCCTTTCAAGATAGGTAAGGGACAAGTTTATTGTAACACACACTCCTTATAAACACTAGATCGCAGAACCGAGAACAGAAATAAACGTATTGGTTCAAGGAAGACAACACCCCCAGTAAAAAAGCTTTCACTAAAACACCATGTTCTCACACGTCCCTCCTATCACGAGACCAGATGTTAACAGTGTTATCAACTCTTTTTTTCCTTTGAGCAGCCTGAGAAAACTCAAGACTGCTCCTTTCC